CACGCCCCCGCCGGCCGCTCCGCGCCGGAAGAGCCGGTTACTCCTGTGCCCCGCTGTGCCCCCACCCCTTCCGAGCCCCGGGCCTAGTCTCCAGGGCAACCCCTGGGCCAGTCTCCGTCCCGAGCGGCTGGGAAGAGGGTGCAGGGTGGGAGAGGGCTGCGCGGGTCCAAAGGAAGTGGGCAGGGGCCAGGCTTCCCACCGGGTGCAGAGCGACTCTGATCAGGGCCACTGTGCGACCGCGCCCGATGGCCTGAGCCCGTCTAATCGCGGGTCTCCCCTGCTTCTGAGGCAGGATGAGGGTGGGGTGCCAATATGCCCAACAGCTGGGTGTTTATTCTTGCCAGAGGCCACCCCAGGCCGCAGCTGTGCTTCTCACCCCATCCAGTCAGACTGACCCCGTGTGTCCCCAAACATCCCTCAGGCCCATCAGATGTGGCCAAACGGGCAAGTGGTCATTTTTTTCCCAGAAACTTGCGAGAAGTGCACCTAGGGAATAGTCTGAGTCTCTTTCAGGTCCAGAGTCAGGCCAGGTCAGTGGGCCAGTAAATGCCCAGAACGGGGTGGCAGAAACTGGTCCCTACCTCCTTGTGTTGCAGATTGATACCCACTACTCCGGGGTCTGCAGCCACCCTGGGGCCGGGAGGGAGAAGGGGGGGTCATTTGCTTCCTCCACCCCCTCTCTGTCCCCTTCCAGATCTCCCGGCTTTCAACCCTAAAAACCTCTGCTGACCACCCGGGCGCCCTCCCCACACCCCGCTCCTTCCCAGCCCACAGAACAAGACTCAGCAGCAGCTGAAGCAAATCCAGACACTTTTGCACATTCATTCTGGAGTGGAGGGTGAGAATGAGAGCACAAGCCCAGGGGCAGAGCTTGGGGAGCTGCTGGATTTGGGGGTTCCCAGAGGTGGGGCCTCCCCTCCTAGGCCGAATAGTCCTTGCAATGAATGGGAACTGCTAAGGGGCCCCCTGAACCCTGTCACATTCCAGCTGACCCTCTCCCTGGTCCAGGGCACGTCTCTCCCCCTCCACATTTTGAGGAGACGGAGTTTCCTGAAACACACCACAGCCCCTCTTCTCTCCAAATCGCTGTGGCCCTCTCAGTGCCCAGCTCAGTCCTGTTTCAAACTCCTTAAGAGCTTCTCCAAGGAGGTCTCAAGAGGCCATGGAGGAGTCCTGCAGGAGTGGGGGCGCCCTCTGCATCTGAGTAGAGAAGCCTGGGTTCCCAGCTTTCCCCACCACCCTCAGCCTCCGTCCTCACCCGCCACCCACCAACGGCCTCTCTGGCCACAGGATTCTGGGGGGCTCTCCCCCATCTTGGCTGTGGGGGAGGAGCGCCCCCAGGCCAGAACGGCTCACCCCAGGCCCGGGAGGGCCTTTCCCACCTAGACGCGGCTGACGGGTGCTGGGGTCGGCCCCCCAAACTCGGGGAGACGCGGGGTGAGGGCCAGAGACGCCTCAGATGGAACTTAGTTGAACTTGAAGCAGCTCCCGAAAGAGGCTGTCGTCAGTGCGCACCCTCCTCTCGCAGGGGGAAGGCGAGGAGTTGGGGTGGCGGTTATTCCCCCTCCCGGCGGAGGTTAGCATGGCGTGGGAAAGCGCCGGCTCCCGAGGGGGGAGGCGAGGCCCAGACCGCGGGCGACTTTCTCCGG